GTATATATATGTGTATATATACACTTGTGCTTAAAAATGACTTCATATATACCGTATATATTATATATAGGCCTATATATATAAATATATATGAGGCCCTATATAGGTCTATATATACCTATGTTAAGGCTTTAGAGGCGCCATTGCTTTCTTTCTTTCCAAATTATTTATGATAATATAAATATTCAGCAAGACAAGAGTAATGAATATTTATTTTGTTAATCTCAAACAGCGTTAGTTTATTCAAGACTGCTATTGTAATTGTCATGGTGACAAATATAGCGATAATGTTTTGGAGTTTTTTGTCTTTGCAGATGGGATTTCAAAGACGCACGGGTAGCTTGTCGGCAGCTAGGGTATACTACTGCCCTCAAAAGTGTACCACGTGCAAGATTTGGGCCCGGAAAAGGCAAGATTCTGTTTGATGATACTTCTTGCACAGGATACGAGAAATACCTTAACGACTGTCCTCATTCAGAGTACGGGGCACACGATTGTAGTCACGGTGAAGACGCGGGCGTTGTATGCGATCATGTGGCAGAAGGTAAGGGCGTACACAGGCCTATGATATAATATTGATTCCAAAGTAACACAAATATACAAAAACACTAATAAAATTCAAAGCACTTGCAGTGATATTACTCCTAATCATTGAATCCATAAAATTGTATAATTGCTTGAGCTTCGCTACATGATCTTCTTCAAAACCTTCAACAAAATGGCAATTGTGAAAATGTGCAATTCTCCACTAAAAAGATGTGTTATATTTATGGGCATTGTACAAATATTCTTAAGAGCAATACTGTGAAATGAAATATATTTACAAATACATTGCCTTTGCAATTATGATCGATGTTTTGATAAGCTGTTTAAAGAAAATAATTTTTTATAAGTATTCTATTTAAAAGAAAGGCAATTGTTTTTTTTTTCTTGTTTTCATTTTGTTATCAATATTTGTTTTGTATGTTGTTTGATATGATTAGATCAAATTACTAAAATATTAAATAACAACATGAACAACATGCACTTTATTGCCCGCAATATATTTACTCATTTTACCTATACTTTTAACGAGTAGGCCTACACATTTAAACTCCTGGTGGAAAGAGATAAACGCTACAGCTATAGTGCCTTGCTAGAGAGCTCACCTCTTAATCATAGGCGTAGATCCCGGGGGGGGATATATCCCCCCAATATTTGACAAGGGGATGATGGTCCATTGTATCATCCCCCCCCCCCCCAATATTTTGACTATGTATGGGATAAAATGGAGCTTTACATTACACACTTCAAAAGACTGTCACAGAAATAATTTGCACTGTCTTATGCGCTTACAAAGATGAAAATTAGCATAATGTATTAATGTTGATAACAAAATTATTTTATCTGGTACCAATCTAAGTTCTTATTTCCTTAGATGTTAGATGTGCTTGCAAAGACAGCTACATTTCACACTGAAGGGTGTGTACGACATCAGTATTGTTATGTCAATTCCAAGAATGTTTAAGGTTATATCGGTCGATGAAGAATTTATTGACTAGGCCTATAGCAAATTGCATCAATTTTTTTTGCAAAAACAAGGTTTCCAGCTTAAGAGGGTGGCACATCCCCTGTCCGCACAAGGGCACACATTTGGCGCTAACACCAGGCGCGTAACATGGGTCTTGGGTCAGAGTGGGTATTTATTTTCCCGGTTAGTAATTTACCATACCCACCCCACCCCACTCCCCATATAGAAAACAATACGACATAAGGATTATCTTATTTATAATATAGGCCACACACGCGTGTTTGAAACTAAATATAAGCATTTTCATCATGGTTTTATTTATTACAAACATATTCTTTCACCATCAATACACATTGAGGCCCTTCTTTTAGGTTAAAACGATTTAACTTAAATTTGTCTTTCTTGAGTTTGGGACTATTATGTGTTTAAATACCTCAAAAGGATAAACCTAAAAGAGCCCTAAAAAATGCGCGCGAAGCGCGCAAAATATTTTTTGTGTTTCTAATTATAATTTCGTCGGAATTGATGAAAACTCCCTAAAATGTGCAATTTATAGAGGAAATTAGCCTACCGTAACAAGAAATGCGCGCAAAGAATTTTGAGAATTTTATGCACTTTCAGAGGATGCATTTGTCAAGGGGTGGGGAAAGATTTTCCAAAGATGGATTTTTTCCCCTTGTCCCCCGGTTATTTTAATTCTATTTACGTTGGAATTGATCAAAACTCCCTAAAATGTGCAATTTTTAGAGGAAATTGGCACATGTCAACAAGAAATTCGCGAAATTTGAGGTTTTTAGGCACTTTCAGGGGATGAAAAGGGAATTTATAATGGGGGTAGGGAAGATTTCCAAAGATAGATATTTTCCCCTTGTCTCCCAGTGGTTACGCCATCGGGCAGCATAGATCAAAGGAGTTATGAGAGTTTTTGAAGTGGAGAAGGGGTTGCAAGGTGTTGTGAGACTGGTCATTATGAAATCTTCCTTTTTATTCCTGTCTTTATTTTTCTCTTCTCTTTTTCTTTTCCTCTTCTTTCTCTTTCCCTCCCTCTCCCCTCTTTCTTTTCTCTTATTACCCAGCCCGGTACGACGGCTTGGTCAGCTCGGTAAAAACCGTCAGGGGAGGGGAAGTTTTCCATTTTTAAAATTTCAATGCATATCAATGTTACTGTGTCACGCTAGTCCTCACATAGGCAGAGATGTGTATAAGAGACAGATATATATGTGTGTGTGTTTCCTTTTCCACCAATTTTTACAAATTTGTAATGAAAAAGAAGATGTGGAATAAACTTGATTGATTGATTGATTGATTTCATGATTCAGATAGGTGCAATTATTTTCTTATTTTCTCCGACAGACATTAATACATACATCGTATTTGGAGGTTTTTCTTTTTTAATTATATTAAGTGTTTTCATCGTCTATGCCATCAAAGATATCAGGTAAGGCCGTTTAACTTCTGATGAAAATCATGGAAATCATATTGATAAATGAGGTCTAATAATGTTTGATAATCCAGTTAATATAAACTACACTTATATGATATCTTGCATTTCATTATCGCATCGTGGTGGTGGTGATGAAGGTAATACTATAGTGATAGGCCTAATTATGATTATCATGATTATTGCTATTATCATTTTGTTTTCAATATCATAATTTTGTGATAAGCCGGGCACTCACTGCGTCGTACGGCCGTCAGACGATGAATCCAGCTCCGCTTCTTAATGAGTTCTAGGCGACTCGACGCCGTCCTGATTGTCGGTGGCAGTCTGAACGAATCGTCATCATTAAAAATGATCCGTTGCGCGCGCGTGGTGGCGTTGCGTTCTCGATAGAATCGCATCGGCTGACAACCGTTGGGTGCAGTAAGTTATGATCATTTTTATAACTCTGGTTATCACAATCATCGTATTTATTGCTATTATTATAGTTCTTTTGAATATTTTTTTTTTTTTTTTTGCTTTATTAGAGAGAAACGACGAGAACAACAAGACAAACCACCAACGTATGTATAAGCAGAATAACATCCTTCGCCAAATGATATAAAAGCAAAAATAATATTTTTCCTAAAAGAGCAAAATGAAGGACAATATAAAATTAATAAAATTACAAAAACGCTGACCATAATAAAGAAGAAAATATAATTTAAAAAAAATAACGTATACTGAATGTACAGATTGTAAATAATATACTAAGTATATAAATAATGTGTGTACGCTGTAAATGTTTGTACTATGTGTTTTTCTCAGCATTATCGAATACCATAACCGCCTTAGCTGCCTTTAAATTTGCGCACGTTATGGAGATCTGAATTTTGCTACGTATCACAATAGCTAAGAATATAAGTTTGGTGTAAAGATTGTGCACCCTCTGAAAATATTTTTAATCGATGTTACTGATCAAGAAAAATGGGTTGAAGATTTTTAAATTCCGAAATATATATTATATATAAGAAGCCTGTAAAACGAAGATAATATATATATATATATATATATA